AGGTGGACAAGAAGGCCTCCACACCATACTTATTAAAGAAGAATAAAAATGACAAGGTGGTGGCCATCAAGGTGAACAAGCAAGCCAACAATGGGGTCAAACGCTTTTGGGTACCAAAGGAGATCATTTTTAATATGAAGAGCACCAAAAAGGTTTGGATCCCAAAAGGGAAGTGAGAAGTCCAATGGACTTCGGGGAATTTGGAGACTTGGCAAAGTATGGGTGCATTTCATGGGGTGCATCATGATGGACAAAATCATTGCCAGTGAATACTATGGACCCAAATTCCCCTTCCCATGTTAGGTAACTAGATTCAATTTCCTTCAAGTAGTATCAATTTGCATTTCCTACAAGTGGTATTTCTTACAAATTGGTATCATTAAGCATCTAGTTACTTTTCATGCCTATGTTTGCATTTGCATTCTTATATCTTTTGTCATGCATACACTAGGTATATCTTATGGTAGGTTTGCTCGGTTTCATTCTTAACCCTTGGAGCAAACCTACATGGTTTAAAATTGTTTAGGAGCACGTCACATAGCTTGTCTTACAATTATTCATCTAATATGTGCCAATGTCCAAATTGTAGATAATTTCTCCCGAATATCATTTTCAAAAATGATTCTCACATTCTTGTGATGTCATCTTTCAAGTGGTATTATTGATTCTAAAATCAATGCGTATGTCTTCTACAAGTATTCCACACTTGTGTGCACAAATTTAGGGGGAGGTTACTCTACAAGTTGGATGCCTTGAGACTAACACCTTTTCAAGCTTATCATGTGTGTAGTAGTCTCATTGCAAGGAAAATGGAGTCCCTGGAGTTAAGCTTCATACTTCAAATATCCACCACTTATTGCAAGTGGTAGAAATCAAATTGGTTTCCACATGTGGTATTTCTAAACTGATATCATCATGTTGATTTCATTTTGGTATTTATATGCTTTCTCCATGCATTATATAGATTAAATTTCCTTGAGCAATAATTTGCTAAATATGCATATACTTTGCCTTCTACCATATGTATGCATGTATTAGGGGGGAGCTTAATTTATATAATATGAGAGTCAAATTTTGTGACCTTTCCACTCTACACACAAAGGATCATAGAGTTTGACAATCCCTTGTGCTACTAATGTCTTCCTTTTCGGTGTTTGATTTCAAAGGGGGAGAATTTAGAGGACCAAAAGCAAGCATTAATTTGTAGGACCAAAAGCTTGATTATAATAATTTACAAGTGGTAATGGTCTACAAGTGGTAATGGTCCGAGAAAGGGAGGATAGTGGAGTATGAATTAGTCTATGTAATGGGGAGAATTTGTAGGAAGCAAGGCTTAAATCCATAATGCCACATGGGGACATTTGCAAGGGCAAGATAAGTTTTTATGTAGTATCTTTTAGTCTTACAAGTAGAATCTTTTAGCATCATATAACCTTGCCCCTTGCATTACATCCTAGCAAGTAGGTAGTCTTCAAATTTCAAAATTCTATTATTTGCTTGCTTTGATCGTGTTGTCATCAATCACCAAAAAGAGGGAGATTGTGAGAAAAATGGACCCTAGGCCCATTTACTTTGGATTTTGGTGTTTGATGACCAACACAACCAAGTTGGACTAATGAATTTGCAAGTGATTGTTTTGTAGTTCAATAGGGTGCAAGATGTGAATTGGACGAAAGCGACGTGATGATCCGATGATCAACACCATAAGCAAGACCCTAGGAGCACAAGAGAAGACCCAAGATATCAAACAAAGTCTAAGTATGAAGATAGGAACCAAGCCGGACGCAAGATCGCGAAGATACAAGCTCACAAAGGTGACCGGACGCTGGAAGGCGATTGACCGGACGCTCCGATCAGTGACTCGACTATAGTAGGCGTCAGCAGCAGCGACCGAACGCTGGACCGGACGCTGGAGGCAAATCGACCGGACGCAGGACTACAGCGTCTGATCAAGTACAGAAAGGTTCCAGAGCGGCGAAATTGTGACCGGACGCGTCCGGTGGCATGTGACCGGACGCTAGCAGAGTCCGATCATTTGATCGCGGCTCTAACGGTCGGGACGACCGGACGTGTCCGATCAGGACAACCTGAGCGTCCGGCCAGTAGCAGAAAAGCGGGATTTCATCCCCAACGGCTACTTTCTCAGTGGGGCTTATAAATAGACCCTTCAACCGGCCATTTGAAAGTGTTGAAGCTGAGGAAACATATAAAGGGTGTTGATACACCATTTTAGGGATCTCCACTTGCATAGTGCTTAGTGATTCATTAGGTGATTAGCGTAGGTGCTTTGCGAAGTGCTTAGGTTGATTAGACCACCGCTCATGCGTTTGCTCTAGGTTTAGGCCTAGTGTTTAGTGAGGTTTGCATACCTCTTACCACTCGATGCTTGCGCGCACCATTGTTGTACATCGAAAGGGCTTATAGTCTTGCGAGATCACACCAACCACGTTTGTGGTGTGGCCGCCACCATGTACCGGAGGGAACAAGGTCCGCGGCGTTTTGGCCGAAAGCTTGATAGTGAAGACGGCGGGGAGCATCCGGGAGAGGCTTGCCGGAAGGCACATCGGAGACCCACTTGCACGCAGTGTTCGCCTAAACGGCCTAAACGGTAAACGGTGGTAAACTGTCTTGTTTAGGGGGTAAACGAAAATTAAACGGTTGACCGTTTAAACGGGAAAAAAACGGGAAAAACGGTCTAAACGGCCGAAACGGAATGGAGATAAACAGCATTAAACGGGCTAAACAGCTGTTTAAACGGATGTTTAGGCAAACACGAGGTAAATCTAGTTCAGTTTTGTATGGATAAATTTGTATACTTAAGTATATTATATTTATAAATGTGTACACTTGATATGTTACAAGCATAAATATCTATATTTGGTTCTTTTCACATGCATAAATATATATACATACCAAAATAACTGATTTTTACTCGGATAAATATGTATAAATGATAGAATACTTGATTTTTTACATACACATATATAATTATATGTATTTTTTTAAAAAGTACAAAACCGTTTAGACCGTTTAACTTCGTTTAAACACCGTGTAAACAGGCTAAACGCTAAACGAATGGCGACCGTGTAAAGACCGTTTACCGTTTAGGAAAACATTGCTTGCGCGTGGGGAAGGCCCGAGGCTATCCACGGAGTTACCTGACCGGGAGCTTGGCCCTTGTGAGGGATTCCTTGCGAGGGGCTCCAACGAGGACTAGGGGAAGCTTGCGCGCTTCTCGATACCTTGGTAAAAATACCGGAGTCGTCGACGGGAGTTTGCATCTCGGTCTTGCTCTTTAACTTCCGCATTTACCTTGTTTATATTACTCATTTGCGGTAGAGATAGCAACACAATAGCAAAACCGTGGTTGCATATTTAGATAGTTTATCTTTTGCATATGTTTTGCCAACGTTAGAAAAAGAGACCATAATTTAGAAGTAGAATTTTAAGTTGCTTAATTCACCCCCCCTCTTAGGTGTCACGGTCCCCAACACACTTCTTTGCAGATTCATCATAAATCCCAATGGTATAGGGTTTTTTTAATCTTTTTTTAATTAATTTCATATAGAATATTTTTTAGATTAATGCAGACGATTAGATCATTATAAAATCTAACAACATAGGAGGGGTTTTTTTCTTGACTAGCAAACATATTCGTACATTATAATGAGAGAAAAAAATTATCAAACATTCATTCATGTGAAACAAGGACATCAATCTTACATAATCTTACATATATCTGTTTATGTTTTTTCTCTAAATTTAAAATCTATAATTTATTTTATGATGACCATGATATCCATAATATAATATTGGCAATAGTGTACAAATATTTACTTGTAAGTATATCATAACATTAATTTTTGTACTATCTAAGCCTTTGATTAGTTGGACCATCGGTTGATCCAAGTTTTAGTAAGATAAATTTTGTTTCTAATCATAACTCACTGTTACAGAAAGTTCAATACCGTTGGGATCCAAAACCCCTTTCACCATCGGTTTTGACCTTCATTCATAAATAGTGACCACTACTGGTTCCTTACCCACCGTGATAATCAGAAAAAAAGAAATCTAGCTATCAACGGGGCCAAAATCTCCTTTTCGTTTGATTTGTGTCACGATTGATTTGTTTTGCAGCATGATTGTCCATATGGGGGGCCCTCCTGTTGCTTTTACTCTTTTTCGGTCAGGCTTGTGCTCGGACGTCTCGACAGACGCTCATGTCCGGGCGCCCGCACGTATACGTGCTGCTGCGTCTGTTAGCACGCCTATGTCTGCTTCACGTAGGGGCCCGACGCCGCTCCGTTTCCCACGTCGGCGTGTTTCCATGCGGGGGTCGTGTCTCGATCTGTGCCCTCTCTGTTTCTCGCGCTTGCCGCCTGCGCCCTCTCCGCTCCCATGCGCATGCATGCGGGCCAATACTGTAGCAGGTGGTTGCGACAGATGGGTCCCACTATAAGATGTGCAACACTAGATCTATTTTTGCAACATCTAGATGAAGTACTTATAACATACGTCCAAAACAGTTGAAACACTTGCAACATACTTACGAAAACACCAGAAAAATACGTGTGTAGCCAGGGACGAGCAATCAGGAGGCGAGGCCAATCTTGGTTGGGCACGGTCACGCTCTCAGATCAGCCTCTCACAGACGGCCCTGCTTCCCTCTCACGGACGGTAGACCACATCAGAAAACTGGATTTTTTTTAAATAATACTTTTAATGATCAATTGAAAATATAGAAGCTGTTATACAAAAATTTGACATATAGCAACGTGAGGGCCGTTGAATGGGCGGTAGGAGACCTGTCGGCTTCTGAGTAGCCGATATGTGTATACACCTGGCGTCCTGTCTACTCTAGTGCCGATACACGACCTGTGGGCTTCTGAGTAGCCGATAGGTGTCTACACCTGGCGTCCTGTCGGCTTCTGCAGTGCCGATAGCACCAGTCGGACCGTGGAATGCCGACAGGTCCTATCCAGCTGCCTGTGCGTGTGCCCATGCGGCGCGCCTCCCCGTACTCGTACGCCGTCTTCGATCGCCTCGTCCAGGAGCACTTCCCATTCCGGCGCCGCCTCTTCCAAGTGCACGCGCTGCTCCTCACCTCCGGCGTGCTGCTCCTTGACCTTGACCCCCCGATGCTCCTCCCCTCCGCCGCCTTTCCTTACAACTGCCTCGCGCACGCGCACCTCCGCGTCCTTGCCGCCTCCTCCTCGCGCGCCCCGTCCGCACCGCTGCGCCTCTTCTCCGCCATGCTCGCCCACGGCGGGTGCCCCAACCGCCACTCCTTCTCGTCCCTCCTCAAGTCCGCCTCCGCCTCAGGCTCCGCGGCCGCCGTGGGGGCGCTCCACGCACAGGGCCTCCACCGCGGCCTCGCGGCCGACCGCTTCGTCGCCTGCTCGCTCGTCAGCGCCCACGGCCGAACGGGACACCCGGCTTGCGACGCGCGCAAGGTGTTCGACGAGATGGAGGGGGCTCCGGACCTGGCCTCATGCAACGCCCTGCTCCACGCGCTATGCACAGTACACAGGCCGTGGTGTCGTGCACTGGAGATCTGTGCATTAGCCGGCTGTTTGGTTGCACTGCAAGCTGCAATTCCATGCACGAGGTCTATGTCTAGCACAGTAAGGAACTCCAGGAAGCAAAGCAAGCGAAGAGACGCCACAGTACTGCCAGTAGCCCAGTACGAGTGACAGACGTTACAGTCTACTTACAGAGTACTACAGGGGCAAACAAACAAAAAAAGTGTGTTCTCCTTAGAAGATTTAGGCTGACCCAAATAGTAATTCTAAATAAATCCTAAAGGCCCACTCACACATGCATAGTCACACGTTACTACTCTAGGAGTGAGGCTAACTTAAACAGTTGATTTATCTCCAACTAGTTGAAGCTGTTAGGGAGATTAGGGAGAGGAAAAGGAAGAAACACATGCGCGCGCTTGCCTTGCCTTGGGGCGGGGCAACGAGGTGGGCGCGTGACATGAGTGTGAATGGTCTGACGATTTCTCGCTTCGACCTTGTGGGTGCGCGGCTTCCTTTTGCCGAACGCCCCGTGACCAACGTTTCGAACCGCGTTCGCGTTGCCGAACACCCCGCGACCGCGACTACAAGCATAAGAGTATTCTATAAACTACAATTACAAGTCCAATTCACATGAATATATACAATCCATCATTAAATATACAAATTCCATACACATTGTTATCAACGTCCTAGAGCTAGCCTTTCAGTCTCACGAAGGTGTTGGTACTGAGGATTTGTACCTAAGTCAGACTCTCGGTCATGGTAGGCGCCTCTGACGTGTACAATCTGGTCCAATGTGAAGTTGCAAAGCTCGCCGACGAGCTCTAAGAGTTGGTCATCCTTGTATGGGTCTCTTTTCATTCCTTTCTCTTCTCTCCACTACAAGAAAACAAGTTTCAGTTTAGTATTTCATACTATTTATGAAGTTTTTATACTACGGGTGAAGAGGTTCAAACTTACCCTTAAGGGGTGTCTCCTGTAGGCACCGTGTTACCCATCATAGAACATATATAGTATCCACAATGTACACTCCCAAAGCTTCGCTTGAGCACTCGTGTGTTTTGCATATAAAATGTTAAGTAATGCTTTTGTCACCCATGTAACGAGTATCAAGAAGTAAGTTACACTTACCGCACATAGTGTTTTTATAGCCACTTTTCCTTCCTTGTTGCTGGATCATGCCTTCCATGATGATTAGTGACATAGAACCTAAATGCCCTGTTCGAATTATTTTAGCAAATACAACTTGTTAGTATCCAAAAGTGAACGTTACAAGTATGTATACAAACATATAAGCTAATGAGGATTGTCGATATGAAGTCTTTGTATGTCACCGTGTCCTTATCTAATGAATCAAAGACCCATGCCATGCTCCTCCCGACGTCGATGGCTATACAAATCCAAAGGGTTGCATGGATTTAATCATAGAACTAGATAAGCCCTTTTGCATCGAATGAAATATATCGAACAAAGCTTTAAGTATAGAGTTGAGCTTACTCGAAGTTGTATGGTAGCCATATAGTAGAGTGGTGTTGAGATTTTTGAAAGCCAAGGCAATGTATGCCGCAACCTTAAGGGACTCTTCCTTAGCTTCGCTTTACTGGATGCGCTCTTTCTCTCGAAGAGTCTTTGCAAATGCTAGCTCTTTTGGCATCCAAAGGTCCACCGCTTAGGGTAATTAAAATTTGTTTGGGCTATAGCTTGAGGGTCTACATACCCAGCTTTCACACTTGGCATTTGTTTAACAATGTGCACTTGCATTCTTCAAATCACGCAGCGTGGGTTAGTTACAAAAAAATTCAAAGATTACATTCATATCATATCGGAGGACAAGGACTTACAGGCTACGTACGTAATTAGATTCATCTCCATTTCTCCTGGTGAAAGCATGTGTGCATGTCGTTGAAGTCAAAGACAATTTTCTCGGCTGGGCTTCCAAATGTGCCGGTGGGAAAGCATGCTTGTATGATATCTATGCTCATTGGGAGAACACGCAAGTACCAATCATGGAACCTTCTCATTCCAAGTGGTAGGCGCTGGATGTCCCGGTTTGGTAGGAAGGGCTTGCCTCTTTCATATTTTTTCGGGCAATCCTTTGACCATTCGATGGCATCAACATTTGGATACTGCTTTGCAATTTGGTGAAGTTTGCTACTGACGGCCTCCTCAGAACCCCGTGATGGGACTTTTTTAACTTGGTTTTCAGGCTTGAACTGATCATGGGAATACCATTTGGACACCGATGAGACGTCTTTGATCAGAACATAAACTGGCCTTATGTGGATTGGAATCTTCTTTCGGAGTTCCCATTTAGGCACGTCCTCATCTTCTTGTGCATCACCTTCTTCAGGAGGCACTCGTTGTTCATGTATCGGTTGTGCTTGTTGAGAAGACTGTGGCATCTCATGATGCACTTGCCCGGTATGAGCTAGAGAAGGTTGTGGCATCTCATCAGGCACATGCTCGATAGGAGGCGGAGAAGAATGTGGCATCTCAGGAATGTGGGGGTCACGAGACGGTAAAAATATCTCCCCGGCCTCAACAACTCGCTCCAAATTTGGGAGAGAGGGAGGTGGCGAAGAAGCAGTCAATATAATGTCCTGTTTGTGCCAGAGGATGAACTGCCCTATAACGTCTCCGAGTAACACCAGCCCCTCAGGAGTTGCGTAGTCTATCCTCCACTGCATGAACTCGGGCTTCACTGTATGCACCTCGACCCTAGTGTAGTCCGGCGGTATCTTATTATTGTGGTGTAAGCCACCGGGAGGATGTGCAACACCTGCTGCCACCTCCATCATCAAAGAGGTTCTCACGGCCACCGAGAAACACCAAGGTGCAACTAGTAGGTTCCCGTGATGAGATCGACCGAGGTTGTGGCTGCAGTGGAACCTTGGTCGCTAGGAACTTTCGAGGGCTGGTAACTAATGACACTTCTCCCGGTGGTGTCACTAATATACGTGGGTCTCGTGAGACATTCCTTGCTCCTCCAAATAGCTTTCGCAACTAGAGCCTTCACTTGGAGCTCAAGACTAGTCTCCTGGTCTCGGCCATGTTTCTTGTACATGTGTCTGTCCTCTTCGAATCCTTGCTTCTAGGTCATCCTTTTCCCTAGCCCCCTGGTGCGGCCTATGTGCTCCTTGTTTCCCAAGCCAAGGCTAAGCTCGTCCCTCTCTCTCTGGAAGGATTGAATGAGCCCGCCTTTTGTCTTCAAAGATATTTCAAAGATCCTTGATATCGCCTCTTAGGTCTCCGGCTTATCAAACTTAAGATTACTTTGCCGGATGGTTCTCACTCCTCGCATATATCCAGGTTCCTTGAGCGCACCTTCAACTTCGTCACATCAATATTCCCAGCACATTGCGCCTCTTCATCCATCTTCCTAAACCGCTCTTCCTTGGCATAGTAGCCACCGGGGCCTAGATGATGGTGGTGTTTGTTCCTCTTCGCTAGCTTCGGTTACACGAGCACCGAGCTCCAATGCCTCCGCTGAAGTCTTCTCGAGCCACGAGCTCCTCCCATTGACTAGGAGTTATTTTGCCAACTCGTTGAAGGGAGTTAACCCTTTTGGATATACTTCGTGTTAGCTCCGACCTCCAACGTCGAAATGACTCTCCCATCATCCTCGATAGCATTTTTTACCAATTCGTGCTTACCCTCCGGAAATCTAAAATTGACCTTCAGCTGCCTATCCCATAGTGCATTCTTTATGTTCTCTGGTACCTCTTTCCAGTTAGGGATTGCTGGGTTCAATTTATCTCTTAGTAGGGCCCCGATCGCATTACGAAATCGTCCTCTTAATTCCTTCGGCTCAAGGATCTCCCCTGCTGGCCCAACCTCCGTTATCACATAGCAAGCCTTATCTGGATATAGATTTCCTTTTCTATCCCCTCGTTTCCTCTTAGGCTTGGTAGTCGTGGTTGTGTCTTGAGTTTGTGGAGCAGAGGCATCGTGATCCGTCTCTGTGGTTGTTGCCTCTGCTCTCCTTTCCTCTACTCCATCTTGTCCAGTGAGATGTCGCGGACGTCGACGTCGTCTTTTTTGAGTTTTAGGAGGGACCTGTATATAGGACAGGTCAAAGTGTTAGCAGAGGTAACACAGCCAAAGCTTTAGCAAAATTTACAAGCTAAGGCTTCTTCCCTACCTCCTCGTTCGGGTCAAAATCCTTGTCCAAATCTTCCTCCGTTGGCCTCCTTCTTGCTTCAGGTGGGAAAGGATCCTCGGGACTTTCATATCCCTCTTCTGACTCATCATCCTCTTCTTCTTCGCCTTCAGCAGCCTCTCCTTCAGGGCCTTCCTCCTCGTCACACTCCTCCTGAGTAAGCATCACTTCTAGATCCTTTTCTACCTCGTTATCGAACTGTTCCTGAGTAAGCTGGTCCTCTAGTGCTTGCTCCTCAAGGGTGCGCAGCTTCCTTTTGCTATTCTATATTTTTGCCACGCATTTTTCCTGCTTTTCTGGGCTCCCCCGTCGCTGCATGGCGCGCGAGCCTTGAAGCTGGAGCTGCGTGAACCGATAACAATAATGCCGCCACGGTTTCTTTCATCTCGATCGTTCGCAACATGGACCGACCTGACCGATGGACACCGCACCGCCGCAAAGTGGCAAAGCAGCAGGTGTTGAAACCGGGCGGTCGAGGAGGCAAGGCGAGCAAGCGCCTCGCTTTACCTCCCGTCATCATCTCGTGGCGCCCATCTCTCGCTCTCGAACCGCATTTAACTCCGTTTTTTTCTAGCGTCGCCAAGCAAAGGCGGGCGACGCGCGTGACGGCGGCGGGGATGACGACGTGTAAGCGCCAAGAACGGGCACGGCACAGGTGTCCGGCGCGACGGCCGGACGGCGAAGTGCTGTCCGCCTCGGCCGCCCTTGGCCGCCACACTGGGAGAAAAAATTCGACGCGATGATGCGACGCCAACCGATAGGCCTCTAACCAAGGCACCAAGTCGTGAAACGGCAGACATACACCGACTAGTTGTGCTTTTAGAGACAAACGGTGTGCCGAGGGACGCAGTGCAGATTGCCTTCTCATCTCATCTCTTGCTTGTCCAAGGATTCTATACATTCTATCGCTCTCTAGTAACGTGCTCTACTAGGCCCAACCATTGGCGCTTTGTCGGTCGACGAAAGCGCCGAGGCGAGGCCAATCTTGGCCGGGCACGGTCCACGCCTCGATCAGCCTCTCACCGACGGCCCCATCCTCTCGTGGGACGGTAGACCACACCGACGTGGTGCTCTTTTTGTTTTCTCATCACATGACGTTGTTGAAAAAAGCGAAAAACCGATGGCCATGGGCTTCCTCTCGCCTCGGTATTGAGCTCAGTAGGAAAACCCGCCAACGGTCCAGAACTCCAAAGCCTTCCCAACTGTTCTGATCTGCTTTGACATCAGTCTTGCCTGACTAGACCACGGTGATAATCAGAAAAAAAAAAAGAAATCTAGCTATCAACGGGGCTAAAATCTCATTTTCGTTTGATTTGTGTCATGATTGATTTGATTTGCAGCATGATTGTCCCTATGGGGGGCCCTCCTGTTGCTTTTACTCTTTTTTCGGTCAGGCTTGTGCTCGGACATCCCGACAGACGCTCACGTCCGGGCGCCCGCGCGTATACGTGCTGTTGCGTCTGTTAGCATGCCTATGTCTGCTTCACGTAGGGGCCCGACGCCGCTCTGTTTCCCGCGTCTACGCGCGTCCATGCGGGGGTCGTGTCTCGATCTGCGCCCTCTCTGTTTCTCGCACCTGCCGCCCGTGCCCTCTCCGCTCCCATGCGCATGCATGCGGGCCAACACTGTAGCAGGTGGTTGCGACAGATGGGTCCCACTATAAGATGTGCAACACTAGATCTATTTTTGCAGCATCTAGATGAAGTACTTGTAACATACGTCCAAAATAGTTGAAACACTTGCAACATACTTATGAAAACACCAGGAAAATACGTGTGTAGCCAGGGACGAGAAATCAGGAGGCGAGGCCAATCTTGGCTGGGCACGGTCACGCTCTTAGATCAGCCTCTCACAGACGGCCCTGCTTCCCTCACCGAGCGAGCGTGCTTCCCTCTCACGGACGGTAGACCACATCAGAAAACTGGATTTTTTTAAATAATACTTTAAATGATTAATTGCAAATATAGAAGCTGTTGTACAAAAATTTGACATATAGCAGCGTGTTGGCCGTTGAATGGGCGGTAGGGGACCTGTCGGCTTCTGAGTAGCCGATAGGTGTATATACCTGGCGTCCTGTCTACTGTAGTGACGATAGGGGACCTGTCGGCTTCTGAGTAGCCGATAGGTGTATACACTTGGCGTCCTGTCTACTGTAGTGCCGATAGGAACAGTCGGCTTGTCAGTAGCCGATAGGTGTATATACCTAGCGTCCTGTCGGCTTCTGCAGTGCCAATAGCACCAGTCGGACTGTGGAATGCCGACAGGTCCTATCCAGCTGCCTGTGCGTGCACCCATGCGGCGCGCCTCCCTGTACTCGTACGCCGTCTTCGAGCGCCTCGTCCAGGAGCACTTCCCATTCCGACGCCGCCTCTTCCAGGTGCACGCGCTGCTCCTCACCTCCGGCGTGCTGCTCCTTGACCTTGATCCCCAATGCTCCTCCCCTCCACCACCTTTCCTTACAACTGCCTCGCGTAGTGGCGGAGCTACAGGGTATGCCAGGTATGCACCGGCATACCCTGCGATTCCGGCAAGTAAGCATGTATATATACGTATTTATATATAAAAAAAGAAAAAACACTCATCTGATGTGTACCTGAGAGCCGAGGCTAAGCGTGCGAGCGCCGAGCGCGAGTGAGCGTCAGGCCCACGCGGGCACGCGGCCCATGTGGCTAGCGACGACGAAGATGCCAATAGCCCAATACGGATCGAGGCAGCGCCACCGTATACTTCGAGTCTTCTACGCTCGATGGTTCGTCTAATCATCTTCGTCACGATTCACGCGTCCTGTGTGGCTGCGCGCCTGGATCACTCACGTCGTCCGTCACCGTTGGATGTCACCCGCGTCCCGTCATTGTCCAGTCGTCCTCATGACCTTGTCCCGTTCGTCGTTCGGCACTTCATCCTTCACCCTGCCCTATGACTGCACCGACATTTGTGATCGGAATTGTTCAGCCGTTCATATGAGATTCAATCCTTGTTCTTCGTCTTTTTGTAAAAAATTCATATGTACTTTAATTGCTTAGCGCTAAAATCATAAAATCATCCATCACACAGCGAGGTCGAGGATTTGTCCCAACATCAGAGTCAATCTAGATTGATCTTTTGTTTAGTACTTGTATCATGTGAGTGATCCATAATCGCATGAGAGTTCAATCGAGCAAGCACAATTAATTTAATCTGGAACTGAATTACATCTAGAGATGGGTTTGCCTAGGCCTGGAGATACTCGATGGGGATCTCATTCATAGTTTTTAAGGCGTCGCATAGGCGATGACTAGTCGTCCGAGCGGGTTTTCAAATACGGCGTCGCTGTCACCGCATCCTCCTAGCGTATGGCGTCGCCTCGCGGTCGAAGTCATTGCCTAGTCGTCCTTCTCGTGGAGGCAGACACCGCGGGACTAAAAGACGCAGGGAAAGAGCGGCGCCGCGCGCTCGAGCGGGCGGGAAAAGAGCGGCGCGATGCCCTCGCGTGGGAAAAGCAGCAGCGTCGCGCCTACACCTCCCGCCAAAGGCTCCCAATCCCCATTGCGTCTGAGAGAGTGAGAGAGGGAGAGGGAAAGGAAGGAGAGAGGAAGATAGGAGAGGGCGGCGACGCACCTCAAATCCGACGGCGGCGGCGGCGTAGGCGACTGCCTAGCGCAAGTTCGTCCCAGCCGTGCGAGGCCGCCTGTCTGCGCGACTCTGCTCCGTGCAGCGGCTGCTCCATTCGACCGTGAGACTTCGACAATCCGCTCCATCCGTGACTCTGGCCCCGTCCGCGACCAAATCCCGCTCCATCCGCCACGAGCCGCGACCGACTCTGGCGCCGTCCGCTTCCGCTGCGTGCGTCTCCGACTCGGGGATGGGGACGGGGGGAAAGTATGGCGGCGCACGGTGACACGGTGATGGAAAGCGGCGCCGGGATTGGGAAAGCGCGTGGAGAGAGGCGGCGCGGAAGGCGGGGCGTGATGAGATGGAGGCGCAGGCGGAGACGAGAATGGAACGAGTAGTTGTGCCTTTTGCCTTCATTTTTGATTTCTTCTCTTTTTGCTATTTCACCCTCTTCTTTCCTCTGAATTCATATCTTAACCTTTGTGATTGCATTACATTTACATATAATTATACTCCGTAATAAAATTGGAGTTAAATTGGACCGTAACATGCTCCTTTTGCCATAGTTTTCACTTACTTTTTCAAATCACAGTACACAACGCTCACGTATATACATAGACAATCATAAAGAAAAGAGAGTTCAGATCATCAAAAGGTATTTCACTATCCATATTTAATCTGATTACAAAGTATTTCTGTTACATAATTATATTAATGAGTCACACATGTTGAAACTTGTTAGGGGCTGTATGACACATGGAAGAAGACAACTGGAAACAGGAGGATCACTGCTACATTGGCTCTAGAATTGGCAGCATAAAGGTATGTATAAGTGTATGTTTGTGTTGTCCTATGGAAGGTTAGAGTATGTGTATGGCGTCGCCTCGCCGCGCGCCTAACTCGCCTAGGCGTCTGGAAGGGGGTGGAGTGTCGCACCTCGCCTTACCGCCTTAAAAACTATGATCTCATTACAAAACTGTATGCAGCATCATTACTATGTATGAAGCAATCCATGATGTACTGGTTGATCTTGGGGATGATCCTGCAATAAGGATGATTGGACCAAAATACATTTTGTGACTGGAGCATTTGATAACTTTGAATTTGTTTTCTTTGCACACTTAATGTATATTATTCTTGGATATACAAATGAATGTTAGCAAAGAAGGGACCAAGATATTCTTAATGCCATATCACTTTTTAATGTGGCAAAGAAAAGAATGCAATAATTGAGGTCTGATGGTCGGAGTAATTTTCTTGAGGAGGTCACTTTATTTTGCGATAAACATGGTGTTGAAGTTCCTGCTATGGATGGTGATTATGTTTCTCATGAAAAATCAGCAAGAAAAGCTCGTGCCCGAAAGCAAACCAATGATGACCACTTTAGAAGAGAAGTATATATTGGTATCATGGATCAAACAAGTCAAGAACTTGATAACCAGTTTGATGAGATTAATATGGAGTTATTGTCTTATATGTCGGCCTTCAGTCCTTCCAAGTCATTTGCTTCTTTTGATGCACAGAAGCTACGTAGACTAGCTGAGTTCTACCCAAAGGAGTTCTCAAATAATAATTTGCTCAAACTTGAATTGCAGCTACATAATTATAATGATGACGTGAGACAGGATGATAGCTTCAAAGGTCTAGACAATATTGTTGATCTCTCAGTTAAGCTTGTTCAGACAAAGAGGTACAAAGTGTATGATATAGTTTATGAGCTCCTCAAATTGGAATTGCTTCTACCTGTGGCAATGACAAGTGATGAAAGGGTATTTCTGCAATGGTTTTTGTGAAAACAAAGTTAAGAAATAAGATGAGAGATAGTCTTTTGGATGATTGTCTAGTCACTTTCATTGAGCGAGATATTTTCTTTGAAGTTGATGAAGATGATATAATCAAGACATTTATGTCCCTTCGAAAACATCGAATAAAATAGTCACAAGAATAGTATTGTAAGTCTTCGGATCTCTTTTATGCCTTATTTCAATTATCGGTATGGCATTTGAACTATTTATACTATACTTAATGGATAGTTTGAACTTAATCCATGAATTTAAGCCTTATTGTGTTATTTAGTGCATATACACCGAATCATGTTATCAATTTTACAATTATTATCGAATTGCTGAAATTGATTTACCAAATTGTACATGAAAATTTTTAGACGGCATACTCTTAGACAAAATCCTAGATTCGCCAATGGCCTCGCGCACGCGCACCTCCGTGTCCCTGCTGCCGCCGCCTCCTCACGCGCCCCGTCCACACCGCTGCACCTCTTCTCTGCCACGCTCGCTCGCGGCGGGCGCCCCAACCGCCACTCCTTCTCGACCCTCCTCAAGTCTGCCTCTGCCTCAGGCTCCGCGGCCGCCGTGGGGGCGCTCCACGCACAGGGCCTCCGCCGCGGCCTCGCGGCCGACCGCTTCGTCGCCTGCTCGCTCGTCAGCGCCCACGGCCGAACGGGACACCCGGCTCGCGACACGCGCAAGGTGTTCGACGAGATGGAGGGGGCTCCGGACCTGGCCTCATGCAACGCCCTGCTCCACGCGCTATGCACAGTACACAGGCCGTGGTGTCGTGCACTGGAGATCTGTGCATTAGCACGGCTGTTTGGTTGCACTGCAAGCTGCAATTCCATGCACGAGGTCTATGTCTAGCACAGTAAGGAACTCCAGGAAGCAAAGCAAGCGAAGAGACGCCACAGTACTGCCAGTAGCCCAGTACGAGTGACAGACGTTACAGTCTACTTACACAGTACTACAGGGGCAAACAAACAAAAAAAAGTGTGTTCTCCTTAGAAGATTTAGGCTGACCCAAATAGTAATTCTAAATAAATCCTAAAGGCCCACTCACACATGCATAGTCCCACGTTACTACTCTAGGAGTGAAGCTAACTTAAACAGTTGATTTATCTCCAACTAGTTGAAGCTATAAGGGAGATTAGGGAGAGGAAAAGGAAGAAACACATGCGCGCGCTTGCCTTGCCTCGGGGCGGGGCAACGATGTGGGCGCGTGACATGAGTGTGAATGGTCTGACGATTTCTCGCTTCGACCTTGCGGGTGCGCGGCTTCCTTTTGCTATTCTATATTTTTGCCACGCATTTTTCCTGCTTTTCTGGGCTCCCCCGTCGCTGCATGGCGCGCGAGCCTTGAAGCTGGAGCTACGTGAACCGATAACAATAATGCCGCCACGGTTTCTCTCATCTCGATCGTTCGCAACATGGACCGACTTGACCGATGGACACTGCACCGCGCAAAGTGGCAGCAGCAGGGTGTTGAAACCGGCGGTCAGAGGAGGCAAGGCGAGCAAGCGCTGGCTCGCTTTACCTCCCGTCATCTCGTAGCGTCCATCTCTCGCTCTCGGAACCGCATTTAACTCCATTTTTTTTCTAGCGTCGCCAAGCAAGGCGGGCGACGCGCATGACGGCAGCGGGGATGACGACGTGTAAGCGCGCAATGGGGCACGGCACAGGTGTCCGGCGCGACGGCCGGACGGTGAGTGCTGTCCGCCTCGGCCGGCCCTGCTGGCGACACTGGGAGAAAAATTCGGACGCGATGATGCGCACGCCTCAACCGATGGGCCTCTAACCAAGGCACCAAGCTGTGAAACGACAGACACACTGACTAGTTGTGCTTGCAGAGACAAACGGTGTGCCGGGGACGCGGGCAGGATTGCCTTCTCATCTCATCTCTTGCTTGTCCAAGTATTCTATACATTCTACTGGCTCTTGTAACGTGCTCTACTAGGCCCAACCATTGGCGCTTTGTCAGTCGACGAGCAGTCAGGAGGCGAGGCCAATCTTGGCTGGGCACGGTCACGCTCTCAGATCAGCCTCTCACCGACGGCCCTGCATCCCTATCACGGACGGTAGACCACACCGACGTGGTGCTCTTTCGTTTTCTCATCACATGACGTTGTTAAAAAAAACAGAAAACTGATGGCCATGGGCTTCCCTCTCGTCTCGGTTTTGAGCTGTGTAGGAAAACCCGCCAACGGCCCAGAACTCCAAAGCCTTCCCAACTGTTCTGATCTGCTTTGACATCAGTCTTGCCTGACTAGACCAGCCCCCTTCACTGGCCCAAGTTTCCGACATGTAAATGGCCTTGTCCATAAACTCAGTCTTCCTAGGCCTTACCAGTGGCCAAGACCATTTCAGCTTATAGCCCAGAAAGTAAACGCTGCCACTTGGTAATACAAAACCGACCGGATTTTAGCTAAAAAGCTGACCAAACATGTACTGTAAAGCTCAATTAATTCAGTTACCTGTTGCAATTCGCGAGCTTTCACGTGACACTTCTTTGCAGATTCATCATAAATCCCAATGGTATAGGTTTTTTTTATCTTTTTTTAATTAATTTCATATAGAATATTTTTTAGATTAATGCGGACGATTAGATCATTATAAAATCCAACAACATAGGAGGGTTTTTTTCTTGACTAGCAAACATATCCGTACATTATAATGAGAGAAAAAAATTATCAAACATTCATTCATGTGAAACAAGGACATCAGTCTTACATAATCTTACATATATCTGTTTATGTTTTTTCTCTAAATTTAAAATCTATAGTTTATTTTATGATGACCATGATATCCATAATATAATATTGGCAATAGTATACAAATATTTACTTGTAAGTATATCATAACATTAATTTTGGTACTATCTAAGCCTTTGATTAGTTGGACCATCGGTTGATCCAAGTTTTAGTAAGATAAATTTTGTTTCTAATCATAACTCACTGTTACAGAAAGTTCAATACCGTTGGGGTCCAATACCCCTTTCACCATCGGTTTTGACCTTCATTCATCACCGCTGGTGAAAATAGTGACCACTACTGGTTCCTTAGCCACGGTGATAATCAGAAAAAAAAGAAATCTAGCTATCAACGGGGCTAAAATCTCCTTTTCGTTTGATTTGTGTCACGATTGATTTGATTTGCAGCATGATTGTCCCTATGGGGGGCCCTCCTGTTGCTTTTACTCTTTTTTCGATCATTCTTGTGCTCGGACGTAGTGACAGACGCTCACGTCCAGGCGCCCGCGCGTATACGTGCTGCTGCGTCTGTTAGCACGCCTATGTCTGCTTCACGTAGGGGGCCGACACCGCTTCGTTTCCCGCGTCTGCGCGCGTCCATGCGGTGGTCGTGTCTCAATCTGCGCCCTCTCTGTTTCTCGCGCCTGCCGTCCGCGCCCTCTCCGCTCCCATGCGCATGCATGCGGGCCAACACTGTAGCAGGTGGTTGCGACAGATGGGTCCCACTATAAGATGTGCAACACTAGATCTATTTTTGCAACATATAGATGAAGTACTTGCTACATACGTCCAAAACAGTTAAAACACTTGCAACATACTTATGAAAACACCAGGAAAATACATGTGTAGCCATTGCAAAATATATGCAACATCTAGATGAAACACTTGCAACATATATATGAAACACCTGAAACACTCAAAACATATGCTTGCAACATGCATGTGTGTGCAACATCCAGATAAAACGCTCGCAACATATGTCTGGGAAGTGATGAAACATTTGGAACATACACTTGAAACACCATTGCAACATGTGCAACATCCCAATCTACTTTTGCAACATCAATATAAAACATGAAACATTTGAAGTACTTGAAATAGATGCTTGTAACATGCGATTTCAACGCAACATCTCCTTGCTGCTTGGAAGAATGAAGGCACGTTAGCGTGTGGAGCTAACCAGTGTAGAGCTCGCCGGTGGCACGGAGATCGATGCTCCGGTGGAGCAGGCCGTGGCGGGTCTCCATACTGTGCGGGTGGAGCGTGAGCTATCCGTGGGGTAAGCTCCGCTGCGAGCAGTGCGTGGGGTAAGCTCCGCCGCGAGGTGTGTGTGGGCGAGTTCCATCCCGGCCATTGTGAGCTGTGCGTGGGCGAGTTCCATCCCGGCCATTGTGAGCAGTGCGTGGGTGAGTTCCATCCCGCCCGTCGCGAGCTACACACGAGCGAGACCCACCACGGGCACGACGAACTAGGCAAGTGGAGTGCGAGATGTGCGCGGGTGGTTTCCGCTCGGGCTACCGTAAGCTGCACGCGGAGCACAAGAAGTGTGATGGCCTCCGTCTCGACCGGTCGCCATGAGCTGCTTGAGTGGAGCTGTCGGCACGAAAATACGTTGACACACGGCAAGCCGGAAGGATCTGCTTGATGGAGCTGGAGATCCGCTTGACTTCAACGCTGGGGTAACCGATCCTACGAATTCCTCCCGAGACGTGCCAGTCAATTTGACCCTACAATTGACAAGGAGAGAAAGTTTATCAGTAATTTAAGGTGGAACATGTCGGTCTTTGCCCAGACAGTTCCAAGTGTGCCGCTTCGGGAGCAGCCAGACGGGAAAATCAACTAAATAGCCGATACGCACAGAAATTGGCTGTTACAGACAGTAAATCTTATGGCTCGTGATTGGTTTTATGTTGATAAGTACAATGCCCGCAGACGTAAATGAGATCATCAGCTAGGTGGATATTACCAGTATGAATCGTTGAGCCGATGAATCTAATCAGGAAAAGATATAGCATGCAAACAAATCGACTGTCTAATACCAATGGATCTACAAACGCTCTGAATCTAATCTATTACCATCAACAGTGAGGTTCGACCGGATCGATGGCAGCTATGATGATAATAACTAAAACCTTAGAATCCACAGAACCATCTATACTTCAACAGGCTTTCCGAAAGACATGCTATACGTAAAGACTCAGGCGAATCGGCTGAAATAGCCGATTCAGGTAAAAGGGACTACAGCGTGTGAACAATCGACTATTTCACATGAACAAACCCACGGACTCATCAGACTTAACCTGCTATCTCTAACAGTGGGGTTTGACCGGATCGATGCAGCCATGAAAAAGATAACAAATCAAACCCTTAAAGTACATAGATCTATTCACGCTTAACAGAATCATGGACGCACACTATAGGCGTTAACACATAGGTGATCGGCTATTTAGCCGATACAGGCATAGCAAACAGCTAAGGTCACACCTAATCAAGAACAAATCTACTAACTAGCATCCTCCAATCTACAGTGCCATCAATGGGGATCGACCGTGCCATCGTTGGGGATCGACTGGATCGATGCAGCCGTACTTGAACTAGATAAGAGTCGATAACTAGCTTATACTAGAGTTCACAGTGGAGGTTGACCGGATCGATGCAGCCGTACAAACCAAAGTATAAACCATGACGGTACTTATAGACAAACCGTAGGTCGGCCGAACCGATGCAGCCCTGCTTGCTGAAGAACTCGCCGAGATCTACTCTACTCCTACTCCTAAGGGTTGGCCGGAGCCGAAAAAAGGTAAATTGTATTTGATTGATTGGATTATCTTTTACAATGGCCGAGGTCCAATATTTATACCTAGAGCCTAAATATGAATCCTACTCAAGTACGACTCATTACAATCTTTGGTATAAAAGAAAACATTACTAACTTAAGATAACTTGGACCCCAATCTTTCTCTTTTTGTAGAGTCTGATATGTATTTTCCAATGCCAACCATAGCTCATTATCGTTATCTGCTGACATCATTCAAAGAGAGCCGATTCTAGTGTCGCATTTGAATCAGCTGATATCGGCTGTTATGCAATCGATTCCTTGATGACCCGATCTTTGGGA